GGATCTTACTTGAGTCGCTTCTCTTTCGGAGTCAGTATGTACGTTTGACAACCGAATACTCGCATGTGCTTGACACTTGGCTTGGACTTGTAGATGATCTCGAACGGAGTCTTGGGCGGAATCTTGGGTTATGGTAAACGTTTCTTCACGTGGATGGCCGTCATTGCCGCTTCAGCCCAGAAGCACTTTCCAGCTTGGCATGATGGAGCATGCTGCGGCCGATCGTGACAATGGTTCGAATGGCTCGCTCTGCCGTGCCGTTGGTTTGATGTGCGTATGGCACTGTGGTCTGCTGTTCAATGCCTTCATCTTCATAGAAAACTTGAAGCGAGCTGGTTGCAAACTCGCGGGCTCCGTCATGTCGCACAAAATTGATCTTCTTGCCAAACTGCGTCTGTATCATCGTAATGTACTTCCGGATGCAGTCTTCGCTCTCCGATTTCGTGCGTAGACAGAAATCCTTCATGCATCCACTAGCTTCGTCCACAATCAGCAGCAGGTATCTGCTGCTGCCTAACGAATTGCTTTCCATAGGACCACAGATGTCAAGGTGAAGCAGCTCAAAGATGTCGTAGCTGCGCTTGTCGCGGTTGCTTGGGAATGGTTTTTGGACCATCTTCCCTTGCTGGCACCCTCTACATGCACTTGATCTACTCGACTTGAGAGGAATTTTTTCACATCCTTGATCAGAAGCTCTTCGGAGAGACTGAGCAGCAGGCAGATCGCAATGTCTTCATCTTCCATCTTGGCGCCAATGCTGCTGAGCGTGGCGCCGATGTTCAAGCCATCATTGCAGTGATGCAACACGTTTGCTCCTTCCGCCATCTTTCATGCTGAGCAGCTGACGCTTGAGGTAGATTCGTCCCGCCTTCTGCGAGCCGCCCTACAGCATCTTCAAACGTGACCATGCGACCCATGCTTCTTCATAGTCGTCGACCACATGGTGGTAGTCCGCGTCCATGTGAAGCAACATCAAGCCAAACGCGATGTTGCTCGCCTAACGTCGTCAGACGCTCGCAGATCGGCGAAGCGTGGAGTCGTTTCTCGGTTCACGACGTACCTTGGTCAGAAACACGTCGCTGGTAACGACACCACGTTGCCTAATGTATCCTCCATCGAACGTATCGATGGAGATACGTCGGTCGAGGCTTTGCTTGAGGACATGGCGCTTGGGCTCATAGCTGTTGTGAGCTGAGCGGCTTGGAGAAGAAAAA